GCTCCCAATCCCTCATATCCAGCAGATAGGCGAGTTTTTTGACCCCAATCGTCCCTTGCGAACCTTCCATTTCAAGATCCCTCGACCCCATCACTCGTTGAACAGACAACGAGTGTTCTTAGGGCCGAGACTCGAAAGAAGTTACGCAACTAAGTCAAATATAGAATATATCCCACTAAAATCATCTTGACACTTATCATGTGAACGCGCATGAGAACTTATTCAAAAAAATGACGATATCGAAGAGACTCTTTAAACAAATATCCACTTAAAATAAAACACAAATATTCACTGATAAAACTGTCAAATCGTTACTCAAGCATTAACCAAATATCGCGTCTAATATCAAGAAAGGATACAACCCATATATGTTATATAGGTGGATACCTCAAACAATGAATCCAAAATGCAGTACAACCCAAGATAGATAGCATATACTCACAATAATAATTCATAACTGATAATCAAAACATGTTTGTTAGAGTTGTAGCTGAAAAACACGGTATGCCTTAGAAACACTAGCATGAATTTAACTCAACCACCTGTCATGCAACAAGATAACTTTCATAACATAGTGCAAAAATTCTATAAGGCCAAATTAGGATTAGCAATGAGTAAATAATATGATACATTTGCTACTCCTTCAACATTAAGTGAAGCATATAAAGCAGAGAGGCGGTGTAATCCTCTTGAGATAACATCTTGATTCCTGAGCCTCGCTTTAAAGATCAAGCCTCACCGTAACCCTTTCTGATTTCAGTACTTGCACCTTACTAAACCTATCAAGGTTAGCAAGACAACCCCACTCATACCTATTAAGACAACAGGTGATGATCCGACACCTCTCTAAATATGGTAGCCCTACCTAGCGAGAGTCTGGCCTAGGTCGTCACTCTATACCCATCCTGGCTAAGCAGTAGTTGCCATACTTTGCCATCAAGGTTTAAGTAAGGGAACCAACTCTTTCCTCCTCTTTTACCTGATAATATAGTTACTTTCCTATTCAAAGGAAAGATAACAACACCCCACTATGGACCAGGAACATAGTTCCAGTGTGGGTCTCACTATCATTCTCAAGACTCATAACCGCTTCCTTAAGCATCAACGAGGGAGTAACAATTCAAGAGTGCACTTCCATTGCGGACAGATTATACACGCCGACTGACTTCCTTCAGGAAGAATCACCTTCCACTATGTCCCTTTGGAAGGCAATCCATACATATGCCATCAATCAGGCATCCAACATAAAAAGACACACACATAGAGACAACCAAAATAAAACTGCCGCAAAAAATGATATATATATATACTACATATTTTTAACATAGACCTCTCTTTGGATTAGCCAGACCTCTCGCCAAGTAACCACATACTTTGCAAGTGTATCGACAATTACGACTGCGCAATCGATAAGGGGTTCCACCTATCATCGATTAACACCTCCGAAGAGTTTAGGCACAATACTCATCACGATACCTATCGTTCTCTAACTCAGTCTTGGCTCAAGGAAATACGTTTACTATTAAGCCCTTTACTTCGCGCTCACCAGTCACCCCCTAATCTATATCAGTCGCACACCATAAGTCTCCTCTAGAGCAAGGTTTTACCAACTAGGTGAGGACGCCTTAGTTTAACTTAATTACCTCTCATATAAGTCTAAATGAAAACTTCTCATTTTGCTTAAATGTCCATTTACCAAACCCGAGTGTCGTTCCACCAGGGATAATGGTAGGCAACCGTCATCCCCGACAACGGCGCCACCTGTTGACGTTGCCGGGGGACTTCACACCCAACCAACAGTCTTAGGACATCTCCAACGATAGTCAAGGTATCAAGTCATCAACCATATACATCTAATAACAACTTTTCAATTTGCCTAAATTTCCTATTACCGAACCCGAGTGTCGTTCCACCAGGGACAACGGTAGGCAACCGTCATCCCTGGCAACGGCGCCACATGTCGAGCGTATGGTCCCCGCAAGGAGAGGGGACCTTCCCGGCCGCGTCACGCAGGATTCGGCAGGACCTTAAGTCGTAGAGCGTTGCCGCTCCGGCCGAGTTCGTCAGTCATACCTCTCGTGAACCCCTACGACAGGATAGGGTCACACGAGGTACAACTTACCTCCGCCTGCGGGAGCTGTCACCATCCCTTAGGTGGGCGTATCCCCGCCGAGCTACCAGTCCACAGTACGAAGGTTTTTACATGCAATCGCAGAATAACCAGAAGCTACCAGTCACGTTTGTCTGAAAGCCCCGCAATGGCGCTTGAGAAACAACGGTGTCAGGCCCCAAAATCAACAGTAGTAGTTGTTTGTTGTTAAAGATAGAAACAACACCTCTCGGGGGCATAGCAGCAGAAGAAGCTGCTCCAAATCCCCAACCTGGTCACCAGTCGCAATACCTTAAATCCACAACAAATAGTTCGCTGTAGCAGCCCAAAATAACAACAATGCTGGATCGAGAATGCACAGTAGTAAGTCTCGGAAAGCAGCAACAACGGCTGCTGTCCTACGGCTCGACAACCAAGGCCAACACCATGGCCCACGAGGCAACTAGTAGCAGCGTTCTGCGCGGTCACAAAGACATTGTCACTCAAGTCAATAAGCGCTTAGATAGGCACACATTCCATGAGTAAAACTCAGAAATCCGGTGTGTGTCTCAATCTGTGTTTTCTTCTGCCCTTCTCCTTTTCCTTTACTACCGCTCCTATTGCATGACCGCTCCTGGCCATCCGAACGTCCAGGTTCATGAACATGTTGAAGATCATAGTCCTCACAAAGAGCAGCCAGGCTCCTAGGACTGCAGGTGATCTCCCCCTTCAAAGGTCAGTTCCAACGGCATGGTGCAAGCATACCACGCAATCTGACTCAGCCTGCCACCTCCGTTCACTCCATTGGCTGCAAACAGTTGCAACCAGCCTGGTCCCGCTCGATTGGCTGCAGACAGCCTTCTCCCGCTCAATTGCTTGCGGACAGCCTGCTCTCTCTCTCTCTCTCTCTCTCTCTCTCTCTCTCTCTCTCTCTCTCTCTCTCTCTCTCTCTCTCTCTCTCTCTCTCTCTCTCTCTTGCTCGCACGCTTACACATGCGCCTTTCCACCTCTTGCCCCGTGACCTCGACTACAGCCGGTACGTCGAGTTGCCTTCCCGTACCTTAGTCATGGTGGCGACTACAAGGAACGACGCCTCAATCGAGCCAATAATTGTGAGGAGTAGCCTCATTTTCATAAATCATACACCGATAGTGAGGGGCAGCCACGCCACTATCAGGAAAATTTTCGATCTCAATCATGGTGATGCCGACAACAAGCGGTAGCAGCATAGATTAGCAAGCAGCAGCAACATGGTCCCGCTGCTAGATTCATCAGTTGTGTAACATGAGAATGAATTTCCCCCAAAAAAGTGGAACAATTCATTGCACATTTACACCGAAGAGAATCTTGCTCCTGGGCCCAGCCCCTGCTGTTCATACTAGCCAGACCGTCACACCAAATCTATTTATGTGGCTGCCAATCACTCCGCAGCACTTTGAGACCCCCATTGTGAATCCTCCCTCGCCCNCTCTCTCTCTCTCTCTCTCTCTCTCTCTCTCTCTCTCTCTCTCTCTCTCTCTCTCTCTCTCTCTCTCTCTCTCTTTCTCTCTCTCTCTCTCTCGCGTACACATGCGCCTTTCCACCTCTTGCCCCGTGACCTTGACTACAACCGGTACGTCGAGTTGCCATCCCGTACCTTAGTCATGGTGGCGACTATGAGGAGCGACGCCTCAATCGACCCAATGACTGTGAGGAGTAGCCTCATTTTCATAAATGATACACCAATAGTGAGGGGTAGCCACGCCACTATCAGGAAAATTTTCGATCTCAATCATGGTGATGCCGACAACAAGCGGCAGCAGCATGGATTAGCAAGCAGCAGCAACATGGTCCCGCTGCTAGATTCATCAGTTGTGTAACATGAGAATGAATTTCCCTCGAAAAAGTGGAAAGATTCATTGCACATTTACACCGAAGAGAATCTTGCTCCTGGGCACAGCCCCTGCTGTTCGTACTGGCCAGACCGTCACACCAAATCTATTTCTGTGGCTGCCAATCACTCCGCAGCGCTTTGAAACCCCCATTTCGAATCCTCCCTCGCCCGTTTTCATCAAGAAACGGGCGGGATATGCATTTTTTAAGGTTTTTCCACTTTCCTCCTTCTTGGTCTCCGCCATCTACCGCGCACCACTTTTCTCCACTAACTCCTTCTATACTCATCTAGCATTCAAACTAACCTTGCCAGTGCCTTCGCCCTATGCCAAAACTTGTACCTACAATTTTTCCCCGCCTGATTCCATCAAGGAACGGGTAAGTAACAAAATCATTGCTTCGCCCATAGCAGTTTTCTCCATCTCCCCGCGCAGTGCTTTTCCTCTGCAGCGCCAAAACTAACCACTGACTTCGATTTCTGACTCCGCCATTGGATTCGCCATGGCCAAAAACATGGGAAACGAACCTTCATTCGCCCGTTTCCATCGAGGAACGAACGCGAAACATCTTTTCCCGTCGGCATATCCGTTGTTGTCGCTTCCAGCTTCCACCATATCCAACTTCATTTCGCACGCACCAGACGCCAATCCCTGTCTAGGTTCGTTCGCCCTATTCCTCTCTACACCTACTTCCAAACTCTGCACTAATCGCGTACAGCGGACGGGTATCAAAGGGCACAAGCCAAAGTCAAGAATCTGCAAAGGAGTGTGTATCAACTCACTTGCTGAATCAATCAGTCCCGAATGCATGCCGCCCAAGTGCCCTGCTCGGCCGAGTTCTGTCGCTGCAGCAAGTGGGAGGGCACCGGCCTTGCCGCAACGCCTGCACCTTGAATCCAGGGGCAGAGGCAAAGTCCCTTACGAAATAAGTAAATAATAAAAAATAAAAATAAAAGTTAAAGTAGCGGTATTTATGCTCTGCAAAATGGGTTGCTGGCCACCGTGAAGCCCCCACCACGTCGAGGGATGCATCTTCTTCGCGTCGGTGGTAGCGAACGGGTCCCACCAGTGCTGAGCAGCCTTTGGCCAATATCGCGGGTCGTCGCTGTGGAAAGTCCATAGGGCCTCCCACAGATCCTGCATGGCCCTCGTGTCCCACCCGCTGTGGAAAGTCCACAGGGCCTCCTCCATCTCCTACTCCATCTCCTCCTCCATCTCCTCCTCCATCTCCTCCTCCATCTCCTCGTACTCCATCTCCTCCTGCATCTCGTACTCCATCTCCTCCTCCATCTCCTCCTCCATCTCCTACTCCATCTCCTCCTCCATGTCATCCTCAATCTCCATGCACTCCATCTCCTACTCCATCTCCTACTCCATATCCTCCTACTCCATCTCCTCCTCCATCTCCTACTGCATCTCCTACTGCATCTCCTCCTAATCCATCTCCTCCTTCATCTCCTCCTCCATCTCCTCCTCCATCTCCTCCTCCATCTTCTCCTCCATCTCCTCCTCCATCTCCTCGTACATCTACTACTCCATCCCGTACTCCATCTCCTCCTACTCCATCTCCTCCTACTCCATCTCCTCCTACTCCATCTCCTCCTCCATCTCCTCCTCCATCTCCTCCTCCATCTCCTACTCCATCTCCTCCTCCTCCTCCTCCTCCATCTCCTACTCCATCTCCTCCTACTTCATCTCCTCTTCCATCTCATCCTCCTTCTCCTACTCCATCTCCTACTCCATATCCTCCTACTTCATCTCCTCCTCCATCTCGTCCT